AGAGAGAGAGAGAGAGAGACCGGGGTTCTGACGTTACTTTTTTTCCAGAGAAAATCTGTAGTTTTGCATTACTTTTATAGGGAACATGTTTGTCATTTTTACGAAACTGGTATGGTTAATGTGGGTTGTTGGGTATCACTGTAGCCAAATTCTAGTTCTACATATTTTATTTTACCACTCTTCCCATAAAATAAAATAAGTTATTACAAATTCCATTTGAAGTTGATGGGTTTTGCATTTTCCAGGGTGCTGGCCTTGTCGTTCATGATGCCGGGGCATATTGCATGAGCATGGCATCGACATATAATTTGAAAATGCGACCTCCTGAATATTGGGTATGTAGTTTTCTTTATTGGCTACTTAGCCTTCATTTCGTTTATAATCGTTTCTCACAATTTATTAGCCTGTTACTATTAATTGAAATCTAGTCCAACCCCATGTTGTTAGATTTTGAATTTCTTTGGATTCCATTCGGCAAAGTCTCGCCTTGTCTGAATTCACATTTTTGAGCTTTAAATTTTGACTGGCACTGGAACTTACAGACAGTGCATTTGTAGTTTTGTCTCTGACTGCTGGTCTGGCTAATCGCTTGTTTGGTAGATCGTCCCTCTTTGATGATTGCTGGTGGCCTGACCACCAGCTCTGGCTGGCAGACAGTGCGTGTCTGATGTGTCTGATCATAGGTCACTAGCTGACCGTCGGTCTCTGATTATTCGCCAGTGTACCTGATCGCTAGTCTTTGGCTAACTGCCATTGTGTCTGACTACCTGTCTCTGGCTGACTGCTTGACTGTGATCGACTGTCGTGGTGTTTGACTGTTTTTGTGTCTGATCACCAGTCATTTTGCTGACCATCAGTCTCTGACTGACTGCCAATTTGTCTTGAGAAATCATCAATAGAAATGAAAAAGTATCTCATCCCACTGTTAGGCTTGGTTGACTGGATGATTGTTCAATAGTTTGATCGTTTCCAGTTTGCGTATGTTTGGTAGTGTTTTGAAATAGAATATAGAGATAGTTGTAGAATAAGAAATGATCAAATAATCCTGAATTCTGGTAAGTCGTAATATCGGCTACAAAATGGCCTAGAACTTTGAATATGTCCTCTAAATGGCATGATGAACTACATATAAAAAATCAGAAGAGATGGAATTCATCACATAGGGCATATGAAAGTTCACCTTGAGCATTCTATGGAGTATGAAAGCCTTGTGGCGAACTTCTGAAAGATGACCAAATATTGTCCAAATGTCCTTAAATTTGGAGGAAGGTTTGATGAAGATGACGTAAGAGTGTTCAACCAATTTTCATCTAGTTTGGCTATGTTTCTATCTGTGAATCAGGAGTTTTCTAAACCTGCATATAGGCAAGGGATCCTCGCAGCGAACCTCAGATATGGACCCAAATCGTGTCCGAAGCGACCTAAATTTGGCGGGGATCTTGGAAATAGCTTTGTTAGCATGTGGATGAAATTTCGAACAATTCGGTGATGTATTGGATGGGTTTCAATAACTACGCAAGCAACACATACATGGTTTACATGCCCTTTGTTGTGTTATTGCCCTATTGATCATACAAGGTGGCGCAACTTTGTACATACGCTTCTCTTAGTCTAATAACACTAAGAGAAAATATCATGGAATTTGGATTGGGCTTTATCCAATTCCCATGATTTCACCACGAGCCTTCTGTCTTGGTTTGTGGGCTCGTGACGAACTAGTACATTTTGATATTTGTTGATGTTGAATTGACAGTAGATCATTCCAGAATGATCTACAAGCCCTATGGAACGTTTGAACAAGATTTGGCCCACTTAATGAAATTAGGGCAATAATAGAGAAGGTTTCTATTTTGGGTTTTAAATGAGTTTTTGTCCACAATATATAAGTATCTCATGGAATCTAAATATCTAATTTCAGATATCAGAAGAAGATATTGGAAATTATTTCTTGAAGAAGAATTCTATTTTGAATGAAATGAGATCAAGATTGGATTATTTTTGTCAAGTTTCTATAAACTTTGAACAGATTTTGGGAAGTAATTTGAGCTTCAAATATTTTGATATATACGACAAGATTTTGGATGCAACCATTGCCATTTGACTTGTTTTTTGATGGCCAATCAAGTTTGGGACATGATAAGATCCAAAAACTTGCCGAAAAGAAGCAATTTCATGGCCAAGTGCGTTAATTTCAGGTTTATCCACCCTTAACGTCAAACTTGCTATTTTGAATGTTTGATCTATGAATTGTTGGGTTATGTGCGCATTAAGGCATGTAATCTCTAAAATTTGATCCTCTTATGCCTTTAGAAGATAGAAGACTCTAGAAACATGAGATTTGAAGAGAGAGCTTCCATAATTCGAAGTTTCTTTCTTATTTATTAAGTTTCAAGCCCTTTATATCTTGCTGATTCAGGGCCGAGACTTAGAGAGAGCCTCCTAGAAAACATAGATCTTCATAATGAATCCAACTTGGAGTATGTTTAAGGATTTCTAGAGAGAAAAAACCAGTTTGACACACCTTCAATCATATGCAAGGTATATAAATTCATATTTGAATTCCAGTGTCTCTTTCTTGTACTTTTCTTGCTTGTAGTTTATACGTCTTTGTAATCCAAAGGGTGTTCTTTTCTTTGAATAAAGATTGGATGTAAGTCAGACGAGTTGTTCGCAAACACTCTTGAACTCTTCCTGAACCCTTTTCAATAAGAAAAAGAACTCTTGATTTTTGTACAATCTTGAGTGAGTTTGTTCATTTGTATGATTCACTGGTCTATTTGATTGGAGTCATATATCTTAGTACACTTTTTTGGCAAAACAATGTTAGTATTGACCCTGTGGTAGTATCTAGAGTGGCAGGGGGACATGGTTTCTTCAATGCTTATTCTACTCCCAAAGTCATTATGGAAAATAGATCTTAGATTGTGACCTTTTGAAATTTACTCCTTTGAAGCGTTCCTATGTAACGAAATTCTGGCTCATAGCTTTCAACAAGTTCCTAATTCCCATCCTCTGCTTAGGATCTTTGACACTTTGAATAGAACGAGACCATCTCGTGCTGTTGCATGCGGTTCTAAGAATCAAACCTATGTCTCCAAAGCTACTATGGAGTCAGAGTTAAGTCGCCTCGGAAGCCGATAGTAGAGAGGCAGAGCGACTTAAGGAACTTAATGGTACATGTACCACTTATTCAATTCAATATGTGTAGTCTTAGTATAATGTAATCGTGAAGCAGCGGTATATGGAGGAAAGAGTACGATATATAATAGAAAGTTTAGACAAACATTTGCTTGAGACACAACAAGCTAAGATCATACTGGAAGATGGAGTAATTTCAGTGTCCTACATATGATCTACCATGAACTTGGTTTATCCATTAACAAAAAGACCATGCAAGGAACCAAGTTCGGTAGTCAACTAGATGGATGGGATTGAAGCCACTTATGATATGCCACAAAGAGGTGGGGACCTACCTGATAGACAAGGAGACCCAAGTCTAGGAAAAAAATCTCTCATATGACGTCTGATGGCTTGTACCATAAAATTTTATTAAATGGAAATTTGCATATTTCTTTCCCGTCACTGGTTGTTATACTGCAATGAATGGAAAGGTTGAGCTATGTTCTTAATGAATTCATTTACCTAGATGATGTAATGCCTAAGCAGCAGTACAAAGCTGCCAGATATCGTCCATAGATCAACCTATTTGAGCATGGAAGTAGAGGCCTCTTCCTATAAGAATTACGTAATCTCTAAAAGCACTCATGGAAACCAGCAATTGGTGCAGGATCTTAAGTGCGTAATCCTTTAGAAACCATAGCTTCTTGAAAGTTAATGTGTTATATGTGGAGGCTGACCTTTAATGGGTTCAGTTCAAGGTTCCCTATTCACTATCTTGGTGAGTGTTTTGCGTAGCACTGCATAAGAGTTCAACTTTGTGTGAACTCTCACGCATTATTCTTCCTAAATCCCAAGTTGGGAGTATTTTGGGGTTTTAAGTTGTTTTGAAATTGGTGGGAAATTGTTAATATTTAGATGATGTTTGAAAACAAGTTTTAGAATTTCGGAATTTGTTATGGATAATTTTGGTAATTTAGTTCTCTTCAATCTCAAGAGAAAAAGCTAATTGAAAAAACGCTGGGATGATGATGATGGTTCTCTTTATAGCCACAGGGCCACATTATGGGCTTGCAGGACCACAATATGGATCTCACAGTGGTCAGGGGACCACAATAAGGTTCACTTTGCAATAAAAAAAATGGTTGATTGTATTGTCTTCGGACCATGAGGTCTAATTTTATAATATAGTCCATTGAGGACCACAATTTTTAAGTGTGGACTCTCTTGACCAAAATTGATGTGTGGACCATAGACCACATTGTTGAAGTGTGGATCTCATGGACCACATATTTGCTAGATTTCAATGTGAACATGGAGATGGACATGTTTCACCCTGCATGACAGTTCGCCATGTGTCATAATGGAGATGACACTTGTCCATTCGTAATAAATGTATAACACGCTACCCGCATACTATTGCCCGTTTTAACTCGAGCACTATTTTCATCTATTGAAGTGAGATTTATAGCTATGTTGTTTGTTTAAGTTCTACAACTTTCTCAAAAGGAAAATTGTTTTGCTGGACCGCATTTCTAGATCCATCTTAATGGATGCAAATAGGTGGTCCATATGTTTTTTTTATAGAATTATTATTTTTAATTTTCAAAATTTATTTATTTATTTATATTCATGATCTTCGTATTAGAGATTAGAGATTACATGTCCAGTCCAAAAATCTATCAAAAATAGATTTTTAAAAGTTGACTCATTTCTACATGGGCTCGTAGAAACCGTTTAAAGTTTGATAAGCACTTTTAACGTAAATAATTTGTATAAATGCAAATGTTCTATACATACATTTGAATTTCTTAGTATAAACTAATAGATTGCTAAACGTGAAGGGATCTCAAGACTCGCTAGCCCTGTGTCTCAAAAAACTATCTCTCACTCTCAATTTTCTTCTCTTCTTCTTCAATGTTGAAACCTAATGAATCAGCCCGTGTATTTCCTTTCATTTTTCTTGTGTTGCTTTTTTACTTCTTTATTTCCTCGCTTTTTACTTCTTTATTTGCTCTCCCTCCCTCTCCTCTTCCCCCCCTTCCTCCCCCGCCAGCTTTTCAAAGGCTACCCACAAAAGACATCTTTATACTAAGTGGAGTTTTATAAATAAGATTTTGGCATATTTGAACTAATATACATAAAAAATCACTGTTGTAGGGCAAGGAAACAATAAATAATTATTTCTTTGGTAGCAAGTTAATAGATATAATAATTATTTTCTTGAAAACTAAGTCAGCGAATGAACAAGAGTTACAATCTAATAGGAATGGATTCAAAGCCTAATATCGAATGGGGGTAATCCAACTTTTTAGTGGTCGAGCATAAACGTTGATTTTAAGATATTGATATATAAATGTGACTGCAAGTTGATATCACATAATGAGCCATTAGTGGTTTGTCCTACATGGATATAACACAGCCTATCCTTAAATATGATTGTCAAGCATTTAAGCCAAGCATATTAAAACAATAGGAATAGAATAGGAGTGGAATGAGGCAGAAAAGCCCATACCCGAATTCAGTCTTCTCTCTCCGTCAAACCCTCTTATAGTCCTTGTGTGATCCACTTTTCGAAATTGTGATCCATTGTGGACTATATTATAAAATTAGACGTCATGTTTCCCAGACTATATAATAGAGCAAATTGTGATCCTGGGACCACATAATGATCCAAATTGTGGTCCCTTGACTACAATGAGATAGATATCGTCATCCAAGAAGCCCCTTGAAGGCCATAATTCGGTTTCATGACCATAAAGGTACCGAATAGCCATTACAAATCCTGAAGTCCTAAGTTATCTTGGAACACAGTTATCCATAAATTAACAATTGGCACTTGTGTTTGGCTGGAATTTATTGAGATTCTAATGGTGGAATTCCAAAGAGTATTACTTTAATTTCTGGTCTTGAAGTAAATAAAGCTACAATTTTGTTTTGTACTTGTCAATAGGAATTCGTTTGATTCCTTGTGGTTTTATTGGATGAATTTGTTCTGTGTTTTTATAGGTGGAGGATGGATCCATTGTTAAAATAAGGCATGAGGAGACATTTGAAGATCATCTCAGGTTTTATGAAGGCTTGTAACTGGATTACATAAACCCTATTCTCTACCGAGTTTAATATGCGGATGTGTTGAAATCGTCACCAGTTGCGAGTGCTTCGCAAGAGAAATGATAATTTATGCTTAAAATGTATGCTTATATCGCACATGATTTGCAATCTTAGAAGAGAGGGGGATCTGTGCGTCACACTAAAACAGACACCTTCCTTCACAGGGTTTGCGAACGTTTTTTTTTTTTTAGTTACATGATTTGCAACCTAGAGAGAGAGAGAGAGAGAGAGAGAGAGAGAGAGAGAGAGAGAGCACATTCTATAAGAGAGGGAGAGCATATAATACACATGGTATAAGCACCGAGAGAGAAAGTACAATACACATTGTATAAAAAAGGGGAAGTACAACACGCATGGTATAAGTACACAATACATAGTGCCTGTCAAGAAAACGAATGGGAAACTCTGTCTGCATTGATTTTCATAATGTGAACGCAGCATACCCAAAAGACAACTTTCCTCTCCCAATCACGACACTGATGATTGAATTCACAGTAGCATGTGAAGCCTTTCTATTTATGGATGGCTACTTGGGGCACAATTAGATCAGAATAATGCCTGCAAATGAGAAAGCATTGATGATGTCAATAGCGTGTGAAGCCTTTTTATTCATGGATGGTTACTTGGGGCACAATCAGAGAAATAATGCCTAAAATGAGGAACTGACAGCATTTCGCACTACTAAGAAGATATATTGTTATAAAGACATATTATTTTGCTTGAAGAACTCTGGAGGTACTTGCTAGCTAGCAATGATGGTTATCTTTCAGGATATTTTGTCAGACATTCACATTCACGAGCTTGGGGTGGTAGAAGCTGCGAAAACATCAGCCCAAGATTACCCTCTCAAACGTGTGTTGGGGGGGTCAAGTCTAGCAAATTCCTGGGTTTTGTCATATGGCATTGAGTTTAGATTTATCAAGTGAAAATTAAAGCCATTCAAGATATGCTACCTCCAGAAACCTCGAGGATTTAATTTCTCTTAAAGGCAGGCTAGATTTGTTTCAATTTTTAAAAAAGATGCAAGCCATTTTCTAGGTATGAAGATGTATGCCCCTTTAATATGGGGCGATGCTTGTCAAAAAGCATCCCAAGAGATAAGGACAAGTCTTAAATCATCGGTTACAAGCAGGCCATTGATACAATATTTGAACGCTCTAGAAGAGCCGTTAGGAGCCCTCCTTGCATAGCATAACGTGGAGGGGAAAGAAGTGGCTTTGTGTTATCTAAGCCGCGCAATGATAGTGGCTGAATATTATTATTAACCCATTGAAAAGTTGTGCCCTGCCTTAGTGTTTGCCATCAAAAAGCTAAGGCACTATTTGTTGGACCACCCATTCAACTTATTTCACGAGTAGACCCTATTAAGTACCTAATGACGTGATCGATCTTGTTGAGACATCTAGCCAATTGGGTATTGCTCCGTATGGAGTTTGATATTATTTATGTCGCACAAAGAGCTGTGAAAGGGCTGGCACTTGCAAACTTTCTAGCTGCACATCCTCGGTTAGAAAGGTCTTCGTTAAATAAGGACCTGCCAGACGATGAGGTTGTGTATTGAAAAAGAAGAATCAAAGTGGCAATTGTTCTTTGATGGTGCATTGCATGAAAAGGGATCAAGAGCTCAAATTTTGTTCATACCTCCTGATAAGGGTCTCCTCCCTAACGTGTTTTCTTTAGAAAAGAAGTGTTCCAATGGCAAAGCAAACTATCAGGCTTTAATAATTGAGACTCCTAGAAATTTTGGAGATTCCCAGTTGGTGGTATGTCAAAAATCCATAGCTTATGCCCCATTTCTCTATCAGGTCTCTTTGACTAATATACCTCAAGGACGTAATGTTCAACCTAATGCATTGGCAAAAGCTGGGAGCTACGTTGACTCTCAAGTCCAGAGTACGCACCCCTATCCTACTTTAGGAATGGTGCATGCTTCCCAGGATGGAAGAGCCTGATTTAGATGAAGAAAGTGATCTATGGGCTCAATTCCCTCTATACCCTCTAGGAGCAATAAAATTGATCTATGGGTTCAATTCCCTCTATACCCTCTAGGAGCAATAAAAGTTATCTATGGGCTCAATTCCCTCCATACTCTAGGAGCAACAAGTGAGACTGTTGAAACGTTTGCTCCCTCAAATGTTCTTTCTTGTGCCAAAACCATTGAAGGAGATTTGCAACATCCCTTTGGACGCTTCGAAATGTGAATGGTTAAAAAAGATGGATGTTTTAAAACATGTAAAACAAGGATAGACTCCAATTAATGTCCTTACCAGAGAACATCACATTTCGGGGCCAAATTCGCCCACACATTGTTATTTTGTTATATAATAGAAACACATGGTTTTTTCTATATATATATATATATATATATATATATATATTAACCAAATAATACAACAAAAGTAAACAAGGCCAATTACCATTGATTCTGGCCTTGAGACATATACATTCATTTCTAATAAGAAAGACAAACATACGTATTAAATGAAAGGAGATAACATCAAAGGGACATCAGCTTGTATACTTGATCTACGGAAAGGATGCTAATCATATGTCTACTTTCTTTTTGAGAACGGGCGTCAAGTAGGTATTTGGAACACTGAATCAATCTCTTTTTCTATTTCTCTTTATCTCACTCTATCTTGCTCATTGTAATCAATGTTCTAACATAGAATGTGGCGACGAGATATAGACCTCATAAGAGTGTCTATTTCAAAGAACATGTGCGAACCCCTCCTCTTGACTATTAATGGGGCTTTTAGAGTTTCAACGAAGTGATAGACTTCAATCTTTCATTGATAACTACAAGGATATCATCTTTTGATCTGCATTGTTGATCTTCTGCCGATGTTTATATCTTCTTCAATTTCAGCGCTAAATCCTCATATCCATCCTTATCTCCAAATGAATTTTGAATTCCACGAGCTGGTCTTATGCAGATTCAAGTTCAAGCTTGGGTCTTCACACGAATTTGAATTCGTGAATAGGTCTTCTGAATTCAAGCTTAGCTATATGCGAATTCGAAATCATATCTATGTGATCTGTAGATTTGTTCATTCATATCTAGTCAACATCCATTAAATATGCAGGCTTGCAATCCGGCGGAGCTATCTCATGAGGAAAATCAGGATGTTGTCTCTTTTTAATGCCTGTCTGTTCGATCTTCTGCTATTTGGCAAGACACACTTCTGCATATCTCCCATGGCCTCGTTCACTTGTATTGAATATTTCCACACCTTTTAAGGGTGATAGAATATTGAATTAGGGATCTAGTGGTCCTAGTCCGATGGGAAAATTTCTCATATTAGGGGAGAAATCCCAATTTTGGTAGCCAAGTATCATTTTGTTTGCAACATACAATGTATTGAGCTTCTAAGGGTCCAACCGTCGGGCTATACAGATGATGGGCTAAACCACATCCGATTGATACAAAACTTCAAGGGGAGGGCTATAATGCCTCAAGCATGGTTCCTTGAGAGTCTCGGCTTAATCCCGAAAACATCAACTTTTGGGGTGTTAGTCAAAGCATATCTGAACTGAAGGTGGATACGGACATGGGTTAAGCCATGTCCAAATATTGCCTAAGTCATATCACCCCTAGATTTTAAGCTCTATAAGGCCTCAACATGTATATCTTTATGGATTTACCTCAATATATCAATATATGGTGAGGTTTCCCTTTTGTTTCCTCTGTCAAAACCCCATTATCTTTAACGACTGATGTATTTGAAACAGCCATATCACATCTCACCCAGAACTCCTCCAGTATCCGGTAGACAAGCATTTGTGTGCCATGGAATATATGCATTCTAGAGTTCCGTCTCAAATAGAAACGTCTTCATAATCTCTTATCATAGACCATAAGTTATAATGCATGGGTATAACTAACGGTAAATGCCAAAATTAACCCGTATATGTTCCTCCATATATTACAGGGCCTGAGGAGCATATGTATCCTAAATCTATCTCAAGATGAGATGGGTTTAATATCTTAAGTCAGCCTTGAATATTGCTTAGTTGAAGAGCTATTGGCATTATATCTTTATCGGTCGTGAGTTAGAACATTTAGGGACAAATTGATGAATCAATACAACACAAGCATTTCAGGTCTCTCATATGATGGATCTTGATCATATCATATATCTCATTTCATGTGAGTCATATTTGAGTAGGTATTATCAAGAATCGTATTCATATCTTTATCAACTTCATAATTGTCCAGCTTACATTATAGGCTTTGCTGTCTATCAACATTTTGATAGACCGAGCATTCATTATAACGCACTTAATCTTATATGGGACTGAGGGTCCATCCTTTCATATCTTCGGAGGATTTACTTGTCAAGTTGACGTATCCCTATTGAGTGTACGTTATAATGCATCTAGTCCTGTATATGACTAAAAGCACACCCAACACCCTTTGTTGACTTCATTTTGCATGGCAAATTACCACCAGAAAGAAAGGAATGGCACACATTAAGGAGACGTGCCACCTAATTTATGACTATTCTATCGTTGATCTTATGATGGAGTTTACTCTGATGCCTTTCAAATAAAGAAATGGCAATAGAGGAAGTACATGCTAGTGTATGTGGCATGCATCATGACTCAAATACTTACACAACATTCTAAGTCTCACTTTAAATGGATCACGAATAAGAGAGATTTTGTCCGTCCAAATGAACATATTTCCTTTAGAAATTACATTAGCAATACTAGTGGATTGCGGGTAGAACCTCTTTCAAATGAAAAATCCATTAAATATGAAATTTGGAGATGTGAGAGAGGACTCAGACAAAAACAGAATAGTCCAAGTTTCACCTCAAATGGATTTCAGATGATAGAGATATGGTCTGTCCAAGTTACTATATTTCTGTTGGAAACTGTGTCAGCATATCAGGGGATTCCAGATTCAACCACTTTAAATGTACAATTCAATAAACGTTGCACCTTTTAAGGATGATAAAGAATTGAATCACAACTCCAATAGTCCTAGTCCCATGAGAAAATTTGTCATATCGAGGGAGAAATCCCAATTTTTTTGACCAGGTGTCATCCCAGCTGTAACTCATGGGGGATAGAGCTTTTATGGCTCCAACTGCCGGGCGATGTGGATGATGGGTTACGCTGCCTCCGTTTGATATGAAAATTCAGGGAGAGGGTT